CCCCAAAACCCCAAAACCCCAAAACCCCTTGGATCAAATATCAATACTTAAGAGTTCAAATTTTATAATTTAAAATGTCAAATAATTAAGAGTAAGAAAATAGAGAAGTTGTATACAATAGAGGGAAGTATTAGAACAGAAGCTACTAGAATAAAAGGAATTATAATTAAAATAGCTCTTACTATTAAAAAAGTCATCAATAGAATTAACATTAGTAGGAATTTAATGAGTAATCTTCTTGATCAAGATAAGTTTTCATTGTCAAGAATGATGGCATGAATAAATTAAAATAGCATTTTCCGAATCAAGACTACACTTTACTATAGGAAATCTTCGGAAACTTTAATAAAGACTTTGATTAGACCTTAAATTTTTGTAAAGATATGTTTGGGGATCCAACTGTAAACTAAAATTAAGATAAAACTGCAGAAAAAATATGCAATGATGAGAAACTAGATACTGCGGAAATTAATACTCAAAAAATATCTGATAATGCAATAATTCAAATTGATTAAGAAAAATAGACTATATAAAGCAACAAAATTTAAGATGACAAATATGCAAGTTATTAGGATGCTAAATAAACTGAAAATCCTGATATTCAAAATGACTATATCACTCCCAATCCAATTGACACAGACTCTGCTTTAGCTAATTCTTAAAGTAACTTTTAAAATAAAATGTATCAGAATACTCAAAGCATAAAATAAGCTTAAACCTAGCAATTATATGGATAATAGTCTATTTAGAATTAAGATCCTAATTAATCTTAAAAAGATACTTTTAATAGTAACTATAATTGGAATACTCTGCATAAAAATAATGATGAGTTTTCTATTATAGAGGAGGAAAAATCCTTTTTTACTATTTAAAAGAGCAATAAAGACTATTAAAATGCATGGAAGAACAAAATCTAGAAAACCTCATCTCAAAATAATAAGCCTGAATTGGATTAAAGAGCTATATAATTCAAAATGCAAGAGGAATAACTTCTATAGCAAAGATAAAAATAGTATAATCTTGAACTCTAATAGATTGATGATTTTTTCATTAGCGGTCTGTAATTGCAAGAGTCAAGCATGAGCAAGTAAAAATCATCTAAAGAGCAAGATAATAGCTAGTAAAGTTGGATGAATAAATAAAATGCTTAAGCAATGGACAGATGGAAGGATGTAGATCTGTTCAACATAGAAGATGATGAAGATGATCCCAGCAATGAGGGAAAATAAGAATCATTTGCTCATCAAAAGGAAAAGTAAAAAAAATCTCAAAAACCCCAAAATTACTTGCTAAATCAATCAAAAATTGATTATAGTTAATATCTTGAAGTTAAATAAGACCTGCAAAATCAAACTATGTTGAATATAGAAAGTAAAGAATTTCACAAGTAGTCAGATAAAGCGAAAGAGTAAGCCAAAAAGGATATAGAAAGGCTCTACGTAGGTTTCCCTCATTTTGACAAAGTTATCATTGATGACAGTAAGATAAATTTCTCATAAATTTCAACTTCTTTTAGTTTATAGTAGCTGCTTAAATCTTGCCGATGCCTACAAAGTTTTATGCGATATCGACTAGCAAGCTCAAATGAATGAGATGATAACTTTGTAAAAATAGTATGATGAAGATTATGGTTAAGAGGTATAAGAATAATTTTAATAAGAGAAAAATGGCTCTGCTTATGACTAAAATTATAAAAAATCTCAGAAATAGTCTTAAAAAACTTAAAAGTAGAATACAATTGACAATGAATTGCACTAATAATTTTCAGCTCATAATTAAAAAATCTTTGATAAAGAAAGCTAATATAAATAAATCAACAACAATTCTCTTTCTTCTTCCCACTAGCATAATAACAATATATCAAATCAAAATTAGAATGCTTAAAGGCATCAGAAAACTAATAGGAATCAAAATAGCAATCAGTATGTTGAGCAAAAAAGCAGTGGCAATCCTATAGATCATTTTGAAAATGATTTGTCTCGAAATTTCCCGATGAGACCTAGAGAAAAAGAATTGAGATACTAAATATTAAGCTAATTTTAAGATTACATAGTTCAGTTTTATATGAAAAAAGATTCTCAGCAAATCAATTAAAATCACTAAATTACAGGTCTAAAAAAGGAGGACTATAATTTTTTCCTAACATTTGTGGAAAATTTACAATACTTCATGAATTAGTAGATTAAAGAACTTGCTCAAATGAGAAATTACTTTAGAAATGAATAGGTAATCACAAAGATTTTAACTGAATATCCAGTATTGAAAGAGGATATTTTGATTTACATTATGAAGAAACTTTAAGATCCTATTCTTTGCTACGATTTAGTTTGTATTGCTTTCAAGGATTTTTATGTCCCAGATATATTAGAAAATAGTCAAAATTCTAAGATAGATAATTGCAAAGGCTAAAAAAATCATTCAGGAAAACATTATTCTTAAGGATAGATAAGAAACCAGCAATCATAATAAAACAATAATAATATTTAGAATTATTAGTAATAAAACCTAAGCAATACGTAAAATCATTATGGTCAGAGTTATGCAAATAGTAATTTAAACCATTCTCAAAGCAATAGTCAATACTATGGTCAACAACAGAATTACTAGAGAGATTATTATAATAACAATCAAGGGAGTAATAGATAAAGTCATCTCTAAAATGATCATAATATAATTGATCAAAGTTAACTGGTAGATCAAAGTGAAAAGTCTTATGATCATCATATTTTCTTCAATAAGGCATTGATAAACTTGTTCAAAAAGAGAATAGTTCCTAGGAAGGACAATAATGTTATCCAAACTATTTACGCGAGAAACTAAAATCATTTGCAAGAATTATTTGATTAGAGAAGATAAATAAAGGAATAAATATTTTACTCATAGATGAACAATGATTAGGAATTAACGAATAAATTATCAGCTATCCTATATGGACACGAAGAAAATTTAAATAAGGAGAGACAAAGAACTTAATTAGAGATATTTAACTACTTAAATAACGATGTTAATCTTATGAATGAAATTATTGATTTACATGGAATGCGAGCATAAGAAGCAAAACTTATAATGATTAGAAGGCTCAGGCAAATCCAATATGATCTTAATTCTGGGAAAATTAATAATAATGTTGACTAGTAAAATCATATAGTAAGGATTATTTGTGGGAGAGGTTCTCATAGTAATGGAACTCCTGTACTCAAATAGCAATGTCCTGAATCATTGAATTACTTCGGATATGAGTTCCATCTAGACTTTCATGATGGTGTTATACTAGTGAGATTCCGCACTCAAAAAAATAAAATGGGAAAAGAAACTCCTCAGCAAAAAAGATGAATCAATTTAGTGTTTCTATAACTTTAATTTCGTTAATACAAATCTCCTCTTAATTTACTATTTATCCTAATGGGGTTTTGGGGTTTTGGGGTTTTGGGG